GATGTATATAGCTTACTCACTCAGATTCACCTGCCATTAACATTTTATTCCTTTGGCTTTACACTAATTTCTCCACCTGTCATTCTCGCTCTTGTGCTCTCTCTTTATCTGTGGATATATATATGCATTTGAGAGTAAGCTATATACATCATGACCTTTTACCACCAGGTATGTATTCCTAAGAGAGACATTCTCTTACATAATTAAGTTTAATAAATTTAACATTGATTCCATAGTTTTATAGCCTTTAAAGTAACTTTTCACAACATTTTGAGAAATTTACCTTTTTATGAAAAATTAAAACCTTCAAAGGTCCAATCTGGAGCTAAAAATCTTAATTTTTCAATAAATGTCAGGAAAAGCAGAAGGAAGGAAGGAAGAAAAACCAGTAATCCACCCAGCATATCTAAGAGTGTGGTTATTTTTCTTTATAAAAACAAACATTTTGGGGTTGTAGTGGTTCCAATAACAATAATGACAGAATTTTGTCTTTCATTCATGAGGATTTCTAATAAAGATACTTATTCACATTAAAATCTCTTCACTTACTTGTATGCATGGGAATGTAAAGCCAAATAAGTACCATTAAACTAGGCTGGGTTGTAATCCATTTCAATTATTTTTCATGAATTAAGCAATAATTTAATAAGGCCTTCATATATTTTGTTAAAAAATGGCATCAGATATGGGAGGCCACAGTTTCATTTATGATACACTGGACACTCTTCAGTGATAAAAATTACCTGCTATCATGTTCTGTTCAAACACATCTAGCCTCAGCAGAGGAAACCACAAGCTGTAGAGTGCAGAAAACTTCAAAAAGCATACTCAAGGCAAGTCACAAATAGTGTCTGACATTGGCCTGCACCAGAGACCCTCCAAAAGACTGGGAGCCTTAGCAGATCTAACTAATACTTAGAGACAAACCCAAATAGGCAGCCAAAATAGGGAGACAAAAAAATAAGCCTCAAATGAAAAAGTAAAATAATTCTCCAGAAGAAGAGTTAAATGAAATGGAGAGATAAGCATTATATCAGATAAAGAGTTCAGAATACTGATCATAAGGAGGATCCACCACATGAGAAGAGAAATATAAAATACGAAGAAAATTAAGAATGACTAAGTAGAAATGAAAAATACATTGGCAGGAATAAACAGCAGATTAGAGGAAGCTGAGGATAGGATTAGTGAATTGGAAGACAGGGTAGAAAAAAACACTCAATCAGAGAACCAAAAGAAAAAAAAACAATGGAAAAACAGGAAGACAGTTTAAGGGAGCTGTGGGACAACATGAAATGTAATAACATTTGCATCATAGGAGTGCTAGAAGAGGTAGAAAGTAAGCAACGGTTAGAGAACCTGTTTGAAGAAATAGTGGCAGAAAACTTCCTAAACCGGGTGAAGGAAAAAGTCACACGAATTCAGGAGGCATAGAGAATCCCAAGCAGGAAGAATACAAAGAGGACCACACCCAGACACAACATAATTAAAATGCCAAAAATTCAAGAAAGAGAGAATATTAAAGGCAGCAAGAGAAAAACAGTTTGATGCCTACAAAGGAGCTCCCATAAGACTGTCAGCTGATTTCTCATCAGAAATTCTACAGGCCAGAAGGGAATGGCATGAAGTATTCAAGGTAATGCAAAACGAGGATCTGAAACCAAGACTACTCTATCCAGAAAGACTATCATTGAAAATAGATGGTGAAATAAAGAGCTTCCCAGACAAAAAAAAGCCTAAGAAGTTTATCACACCAAACCAGCATTGCAGAAAATGTTAAAGGGACTGCTATAATAAGTTGAAATAGACAGAATGAGAAACATCAGCATAAAGAAATAAAATGGCAATAGATAAGTACCTATCAATAATAACTTTAAATATAAATGGGTTTACGGCTCCAATTAAAGGACATAGGGTATCTGAATGGATAAGAAAACAAGGCCCAAACATATGCTGTCTACAAGAGTCCCACCTCAGAACAAAAGTTTCACACAAGCTGGAAAAAAAAAAAAGAAAACAACAAAAAAACTTCTAAAGGACTTTAAAGGAGAGATCAACAGCAATACAGTTACAGTAGAGTACTTTAATACCCCACTGACTTTACTGGATGGATCTTCCAGACAAACAATCAAAAGGAAACAGTGATTCTAAATGACACACTAGCTCAGATGGATTTATTTGCCATTTACAGAACATCTCACCCCAAAGCTACAGAACATGTATTCTCCTCAACTGCACATGGGATATCCTCAATGATAGATCACATGTTAGGATACAAAACAAGTCTCTAGAAGTTAAAGAAGATTGAAATTATATCATGCATCTTCTTGGACATTTACACCATTGAATACTATGCAGATGTAAAAGGAAGGATCCCTTACCCTATGAGAAAGCATGGTGGGACCTGGAGAGTATTATGCTAAGTGAAATAAGCCAGTCACAGAAAGACAAGTATCACATGATCTTACTCATATGTAGAATCTAATAAACAAAATAAACCAATGAACAAAATAGATCCAGAGACATAGAAGCATGGAACAGATTGACGAATCTCAGAGGGAAAGCTGGGGTGAGTGGGAAGAAATTAACCTAAAAACTTATATGCATATATGCATAACCCATGGACACAGACAATAGTGTAGTGAAGGACTGGGGAGAGTGGTGCAAGGTGGAGGAACTCAGTGGGGAAAAAGAGACAATTGTAATACTTTCAAAAATAAAGATAAATTTAATAAAATAAAATAAAAAGCTTTAAAGATTAAAAAAATTAATAAGTAAATAAAAATAAAAATTTCTTGCTATCAAACAAGTTATGTAATATACCTAGTCAGCTAATGTAAGACTGAAAAATAATTATTTGACAGTACTTCAAAGAGGGAGAACATTGATGGCTGATTGGGTCCTGTAATAATATAACATAAAATGCCTAACTCATTGAAAGTTCCAAATCTCTTGTGTTATGTGGTTCCAAACAACATAGTTTATCTGTGCTTGTGAACAGATAAACTATCCTTGTTATTGTGATGAGTTTCAAATTTTAACATCTTCATTTAAAATAACAGAACATTTGTAAGAAAATTGGAAAAGAAACCAGGGCGAGTTATTTATATAGGAAGTATTTATAACATTGCCCAATGTTGCAGGAAGCTTCTGAAGTTCTCTTTTTCCAAGCGGATGAGACTTGACAGTTATTTTGCAAGATCAAATGCCATTAACATCAACCTTTTTGATTGGGTTGGGTATCAGGACAATGTAATTCTGTGTCAGTCCTCTATAGAAAAAAGGGTTCCCATGATCTCTTCACCTATTCATAGACCAAATGCTGTAGAAAATACTTTTCACATCCATCTGACTCCATCCCCAGTGTGGTGGGTCTAATTCAAGATATGATCATTTGTCACAAGAATGCAGTAGCATATTTTAATAAGTGTCTGTGCTGCCAAGCTTGCCACCCTCAAATCCATCCTCAGCATTGCCATGTAGAATGATCTTCCTAAAACATATATCAATTCCTAGCATAGATTTCAATAGCTTCTCCACCTGCAGGGTGAATTCTAAATTTCAAGGCTGCCCTATTTCATCTTCCCCAGGGAGAATTCAACTTTACCTTTGTTTACTACACATAATCATTTGTGTACCTACAATATAGCATGTATTATATTCTGTTGCCATTGTCTATTTAAATGTTCATTCTCTTAACCAGTCTGATAGCTCTTTGAAGAAGGAGTGGCCTTGATCACTTTTGTCCACTTGTTCCTTAGTGTATACTAGGTACTCAGTATTTTCAGATGAGTGCATGCATTCATTAAAGGATGAATAGCATAATTTATACACTATGATTGATATAAAGAGGATATAATTCTCAGTTTTTCCACTTAAAATATAGATTAGACACTTTCAAGAACCAAGATTTTACAATAAAACCAAGAAACAATATAGTGGGAATACATTGTGTTATTCCTCATTTGACAAAGTCTCAATGACAGGTCAAAGCCACTTTATCTTTTATCTGACATAACGTAATTCTTCTCATAACTTTTCATAACATTTTGAAAAATTTACACTGTGTGAAGAATTAAAGCCTTCAAAGATTCAATCTGGAGCTA